GTGGAATTTTGGAGTTTCATCAAATTATCGCATGCAACCCAAATATTTTGCTTAGGCTGTATGCAGATAAAATTTTAGGTTGGACCAACTTCAAGAAATTAAGGGTTGTAAAAAGACGTGTATAATGCTATGTTTTATCAAACTTAAACAACTTAAGTGTTATGCAGAGCTTTATCTAGGGTCGATCTGGTTGACTAAAGGATTTTTTGTTGACCAAAGGTTTGTTTGGCCTTCTCCGGCATTAGCGTTGGCCTCATGGCAATTATATGTGGTCTTATATATAACATCTATTACCTTCAATCATGCGGTCTTATATATGTGTTTGTGAGTGTAAAATTGATGTGGTCATCTTAGAAGCCTAAATGATCAATTATTGATATGGCTTGCCAGGATCCCAAATGGAGTTCCTTTTTGAATCCCACTCAAGATTGTGTGAGTTGCAGGATCCCACCATAATTCTTGATATAGCATTCTTTGTGCGGTCCTGCATGGGATCTTGCTTTGACATGGGCATTATTAGCACTTGGATTCGTTAAACATGTGGGCTCCGAAAATTCGGCTTTGCCTTCCGCCCGCTGTATTTTTTCTTTTTCGGGAGAGTTTTAACGGAATTAAATTCCGGGGTAAATTTTGGGAAGACAGATGGGTTTGTAGATAAGACACTACCCAAAGATTTCGGCCTCATTTTCGAGGACTTTATGATCTGAGTTCTGGTTTTCTATAGGCGCAAGCCCCTATAGTTAATTACCCCTCCCTATAATGAGAGAGAACTTTTGATTAAGGCTAGTCGTCAATCAAATACGTAGAAACATGTGTTATCTGACATATAGTAGCAGCATGGGATTAGGATGATTGAGAAATGGTTGAGAATTTGAAGATTTGATATTTAAAATTGAAAATTTCACCACCTTGCACTTATAGTGGATGGTGGGGGGAATGGATGATGAGCCCGATCAAGATCCCATGGTTCCATCATCCCGGGCCATCGTGGACAGTGGTCTACTTAGTCAGAGGAGGTAGTCGACCCAACCAGACAGAAGGATCATTGTCGACAACCATGAGTTGCTTCGTCTAAGGGGACTTTGTAGACCTGGGGGTGAATGTTTGCCTAAGGGGATAAATTTGAATCCACCTTAGCTAACATAGGGCTTTGTGCCCTATCGATCATATCCTATTGATTCATGCCTCAAGGATTTGATTCCACTAAGTAACGTATTTGCTTTGGCCATAACAGGTATTTCGTGATGCCATTTGGCGGCAAAACCACTCGGTTCAGAGGGCCTCGAGTCACAACCGTTTATCCTACGGTGCCATTTGGCGGCAAAACTGTCGGTCAGAGGACACGTATCACATCCTTATTAGCAGGAGATTATTTGAGAATAGATTCTAGTAATATTTTCGACTAGACATTAGCTCTATGTGAGCTGAAGTAAATTTTAATTTGTCTATCCCAACAAACTGTTGCAGAGGGTGAATAAATTTTGCTTTAAGTAATTTGATGGATTATTTTAATTTTAAATATTTGGATTTTAGGATTTTTGGAATTTTTGTGTAGTTTGGATTTTTGTGGGTATTTGGGTGGAGCTTGGAAGGCATTTGAAAGTATTTGTGAACCCATCCAGTTGAGATAAACATTTAACACGACCATCATTGGGGTGTATTGGATCATTTATGTTTTTATATTAAACGTTGTCGACCCTATTAACTTGTCGATAGGGGATCGGGTTTCGTAGGTTTTATGCATTTATTAGTGAATTCTCATTGTTATAGGCCTTGAAGGTCTAATATGAACATATTAAGACAAATATACCAGTCGCCAACACCTTATATTTGTTTGATGATTCAAACCCTGTCGACTCTCATTGTTTAGCATAGAAGGATCATGCTTGAACTTGAATTCACTTACTGGCCCGCGCAGCATCCTTAGACGTCACATGTGTACTTATAACATGCTCGTCGGGGCCCATGCGGGTGTATGATTGTATTTGCCCACTTTTTGTGTATTTATATGTATACAAACTAAAGTGCGTGTGTGCGGATATTTTGAAAATATTTGTAATCGCCTTCTGTCTGCTTGCATAGATGTCGCGGATTCGGTGGCGTATTGTAGCAGCTTCTGGATTGAGTTGTTTGCTGCTTTGTACAGGTAGACTGTTGTGCACTACATGTTGCTTTCTATAGATGGATCATAGTACACTAACGAATCTGCTGCTTTCACCATTAGGTATTACTATCTACTATAATTCCCATGCATTCTTCTTATATATGGCATGTTAAGTGTATAGTGGGGTTCCTACAGAAGCTTGTAGGCACTTGCATTTGTCGCATTCCTTTCGTGTTTTGCTTGTTGATAACATCGTGGATGTATATCCATGTTCACCCTTTCATCGGTATTTGTATCCGGTACATATTCTTCAGGCAACTCCTTTGTTTGTATTGTTGGGAGCTTCTTCATGCTTAACCCGTGTTGTTTGTGACCGCTTATAGAAGTTTGAGATGTTGTTGCATTCATTCTCGCTCTTTCTTGTGTTTGTTGATTGGTGAATCACTGCATTTGTATATTGATCATTGCCGCTTGCAAATGATACGTTGTTGCATTCACCAGTATTCTCTTCGTGCATATTAGCTAGTGGGTTGTCGTGCTCCTCCTACATACATGTCGACCCCCTTCTCCTGCAAAGAATTTGCGCTTTTGCTAAATACCTTATTGGCAAGGATGTCTTTGCGGTCACTACGAACTTACTATCATCATTTGCAAGAGCTCAGTGCATTTATATATATCTAAGTGTATCGTCCGTTTGTAGACTATTACATTTGCTGCACATCACAGAAGATCAATGCATTTTCTTTTATATCAACCTTCATTTTTTGCGGGGAATTATACATTGCCATTCATTTGAATGTCCTCCAAAAGTTCCTTGCGCATTCTGTTGTCATTAAATTTCTAAGTTCAAGCTCTTTATGCTTGTAGGGAATAGGAAAATATGCTTGCCACGATGGTTACAAGTGATACGAACAATCACTGTAGGCTTTTTATGTTCACCATACCCATTATAGAGACGTTATTAGATCTCCAAATTTTGTTTATGAGTGTATCACTGCACTACTCATGGAGGAATCATTGCATGCACTTGAGAATCTTGCTCTCAGTTTACATTTGCATACTGTATGTGAGATCTCACAGTTCAACTTACAAGTTCCAAACTTGAGTTTCTTATGATCATCAATATTTACTCAAATAATTTGGAATTTTAATTAGCATTTGCATTTCATGTGATTCGTGTATTTGTTAAATCAAAGTTAGATTCCACGTGGTCCATGCAAGTCCAAGTCTGCGTTCAATGTAGACTCAAATCAAATCTTCACTTGAGTCTAAATCGTTCAAATCATGTTCAAATTATGCTTGATTAGTGTCCAAATTAGTCCCAAGTTAATGTTCAAGTTTGAGCTAGTCTTTTTGTAGTCCAAATCAAATTTAAGTCAATGCTCATTTTATTCAAGTTCAAGTTTTTATGATTATATTATGCATTCATTCAAATTCAAAAATTGATTCATTTCAATTTCATGTTCAATTCATGTTCAATCAAGTCCCCTGTTGTCCTTTATAGTTCAAGTCATTGTCTTTTTCAGACAAAATTTTGGCAGCCTCCTGGCATCTCCCCCGTTTAGGGAAAAAACCAAGAGGCAACCTTCCCCTCCACGCTACATATGCGTTTCAGGGAGATGTCCGTAGACACTGCGGTTGCATTTTTCTTCAATCCCTAAGACGTTACATGAGTGCTTAGGGGTCTTCTGTACCTCCTGAAAAGAGCACAGTCGTTTCCCCACGTATGAGTACTTATTTTTTGTTCCCCTCATGCTACATGAGCGCTCCGGGGATTACCCACCTCGTCGCGAGCACTGCACCGGTTTTCCTCCCCCCGTGCTACATGAGCGTGTAGGGAGGTTTGCCGGCTCGTCACATGCGTCGAGAGTAGGATTTTTAAGTTAGAAATTTTAAGGATAGGAGATGGAAGAGGCGGCTAGAGTTGGATCTGGATTCACTTGTGGTATGGGGGTCAGCGGGTCTAGGGCAGATCGGAGAGGAAGAATGGTGGGCTGGCTTCGATCTTAGAGGGAGGAGGTAAAGGTGTTTGGTCCTAGCTCCAGTTGCAAGCAGAGAATGGGAAGGGGAAGTTCGGTCGTGGCTCTGGAGGTCAGAAGGCTTGCAATATCTAGAGGAGTTCAGGTCGAGTAAAGGATCTCGGCGGTGGGATGCAAAGGAAATCAGCGTGAGGGAAGCCGCGAGGCAGAGCCTTCGTGTTACTTTTAACAATAGCGGGAGAAGAGTTGAGATAAAGTATGGGATCAAGGACTGCAAATGGCGCCGTTCGCACAGGGGATGGGCAAATACTGTAGATGCGGCTGATTCGACATGGTTTGGGCAGGATTTGTGTACAGGTAAATGATTTTTTTTTGTTTTCTTTTTTGATTTGCTGGCAGGGGTCAACAAAACACAATGATAAAAAATAGGTTACATCTTCATTATTAGCACTTGGATTCGTTAAACACAATGAAATTGTGATTTTGTTGTAAAAGAAGGATATGTTGCACAGTGCAAGTATATGTTCTTATTCATTTTTAAGATTGTATTTTATAGGAGCGAATAACTTTGTGAATGTTAAGCTTGTGTTTGTCAAGTTTGATTTAGCCTAAAATGTTTTTTTAAGGAAGCTCGCTAGAGAGAATGTTCTTTCAATAGTAATAATTCTCCGTTCTAGAGGTATGATTGATTATTTAATAATATGCTGTCTTCTTTATTGGGCGGCAAATGAGAGTTCCCTGTTGAAGAAAGTGCAATTAAGCTTGTAGTCAGATTGTTTCATCATAAATCATTTTTACTTGGTTGTTTCCAGATAATTAAGTGTTATGTAACTCAAAGATTGAAATATATGTTTTGAATATTGTTAATTTGTGATTATAAGTTATGATGAACTTACTATGCTAGCTAATTTCCTTAGGTTTGGTCCAAGGGAAAGCAAGAAAGCAATGCTGTATAGTGATGTTGGTCGTTTAAATTGCCATGTGACCTATACAACTTTTTCCACTCCTATACGTGGCCAGGTTTATACTGTTATCCTCGTGAATTACATAACTAATGTGAAATATATAATTTTGTTTCATGTGCTGCCCATATGTTTAGTAATGTAGTGCTCGCATGAATTTATTCTAGGGGTTTGAACATAAAGAATATTCATCAATGCTTCACAAGGCATTAGAGGGTGCTATCATGCTGGAAACTTTCCCAAAGACCACCGTTGATATTTTTGCACTGGTACTGGAGTCTGGTGGTGGTAGGTTGAGTACTAGGTTCTGAAAATTTTGAATTTGAAAAATTTTATGCTGATTTTTAATTTACTTTCTACGAAATTATTAACCTATCAAATGTGAAAACACTGGTTTTAGATTTCTGAATGTTTTCTTTTCTTGTTTCTTAAATAGCTAACTATGCGTTTTATCGTGTTAAGATTTTCTGCTTGCCAAGCGCACTGGAATGCCCAATTAGACACTTACTTGTTCCAACTAACATAAGGACTTGTTCAACGTCTCTTTTTAAAATTTGTCAATTAATCATGACCAGCTCTGTGAAATTTGAGTTCCACTTGTGGCGCATCTTGAAATATTGAAATCTAAAGTTCCAATCCATTAAATCCATCTTCTCTAGGGTGAATTTGGGATAATGGCAAGCACCCTGCAAATCCCAAACATTGAGCTCATAAGCTGGCAGCTATCCCTATTTTTTTTGGCTGGCAGCTATCCTGACTGCAGTTTATTGTGGAAGAAGTAGCTGTGCCCTGGCTGCAAAGCAGCACAACTGTGGGATTCTTGGTGAGCTATGCCAAATTCATCTAATCTCATTTAATAGTTAATTTCATGAGATTGTGAAAGCGCTTGATGGTAATGTCTTATTGCAGACTCTTTTTTTTTCCTCATTAACACTCTACACCTTCCATTCCGGTTTGTAGTTATTGGCAGGTTTCTCTGGTGGCCTTGCCAAATTCACCTAGTCACTTTGACTCATTAATTTCATGTGATAGTGAAAGCGGTTGATGGTAATGGTTTATTGCATACAAATTTTTTTATTACTTACATGTTTTAGCACCCTCCACCACCCATTCTGGATTTGTAGTTATTCTAGATTGTCGTATTCTTAGAGGAACTGATCTATTTCAGAACCCACTCTTGCAAGTTCTGTAAAATTTTTCATTTATCTCGTAAGAACTGAATTTTCTGCAAAATACCCTTGAACTCTGGGCAAAAGATACAGGGTACTTTATAATGTCCTATTTTTTGGGGAATTACCTGATCTAGTATCAACTCTTGCAAGTTATTCTCATTTTATTAATATTTTTGCAAGCAATGAATTTTCTGCAAAACAATCTTTATGCTTGGATAAAATAAATTGATGAATTTTTACCTTCGTTTTTGTGATAGCTGCACTCTTGTTTGGGATTAGACTTTAAGGGCTGATTATTTTCGTTGTTTAATCGTTTATTGGAGCATTGTTATGCGGTTTTATAATCAAGCACCTCCTCCTTTAGGTTACCACTTTATTCACCAGGAGTATAATTTTTGTTTTCTTGCACAAAAGGAAAATTGGGCCATCTTCATGTTTTATTTTTGTAGGTGATCTTCCTGTCATTATAAGCTGCGCAAGCCTTGCTATTGCTGATGCTGGAATCATGATGTATGACCTTGTGTCTGCTGTTTCACTGGTATGTTGAATTTTAGCATGCATGAATTCTCCTTGAAAGACCTTCAAATAATTCACTTATTACAGTCTCCAGCAGTTATTCACTTTGACGTAGAAAATACACAAAATGAATAATTTTTAAGAGCGCATAAGATCAATTTTATTCAACAATTATCAACATCACATCTATAAAGATAAATATTTTAATTTATAGACTAGGGAAAGATATGTCCAAAAGCCAAAAGGAGAAGGGGGTGTTCAACATTGGGGAAGGGGTAAAAAATCAATGGTGTGAGTTTTGAAGAGTAAGATGTGGAGTTGGAAAATTTTTGTTAGTTTTAAAGGGAAAAAATAATAAAAGAAAGATAATTCTTAGGAATAATGATGAGTTTTCCTTTAAATGGGTGTGAGAAAGAGGGAGGAATGTTCATCACATGAAGGTTGATATAATTTCAAAATATGAGGCGATTAAGTCAAATGGCGATGTGGTAGTTAAAATGTATTGGCGATCAATGCATGGTTAATAGGGACCAAAATTGATAAATGAGGTAGGCTAATGCAAGCAAATAGCTAAACTTGTTCAAGATAAAGTCCACAAACACTTGATATATGAATTGACTTATGACATCACTTACACAACTCAAGGTTCAAATGCAGGAAATGATCCAAAATAATCAAATCCCAAAATAAAGCAAGACTCAAAAGACTCGACAACACTAGAGCTCAAAAGAAAAATACATAAGAAATAAATTCCTTTCTACATCTGTGCCATATTAAAAGGCTATAAATTTCTTTCTACATCCTCCTCCCTTGCTTTGAATGATTTAACACTATTTAACAAAGCTCCAAAATATAACAAGAAGATGGGACACGGTTTTCACAATTGTTTTAAGTCATCCATGAATACACTACGCTGGTTAATAAAACTCATGGACTTCATCTTTCATGAGATCTCATGCATTGACTCAACATGGTGACAGTGTCAGTGATGAAGTCGTAATCACTAGTGCTTCTTGCAACTTAATACTTGATCTACTGGTAGAGCTACACACATTATTGAAAGAAACATGATCAGAGTATTAAGTTTGCCACATTGAAAACTGGAGATGTACCAATATCAATTTGAATATCAACTTTGTAAGCACTCACTTAACTTACAAATTATATTTTACAAGTCTTGCTTGTCTAGCATTCAGCGTTGTAGGAATTATTGTAGGTAACTTTATATCTCTTATTCCTTTCACACTATATCTCCCTCTCAAAAATCAACATATTGCCTCTGTATACTAATACTGGATATCATAATAATCAGCTCAAGCATAATTAAGGGTTTTTTTGCCCATTCATTTCATTATTGTATTCCTACATATAATGAAAACAAAAAAAGAAGGCATGCTCCCATGATTTGGTGACTTGGTGGCGCATTCATGCTGATGAGATTAGTTAGAATGGAATGTATTGATAGATTTTGTTATTTGGAGTAGGCGGCCGTTCAGTGTAATTATTTCTCTTTAGAAATAATATTTTTCTCTGATTATTGCAGGCATTATTGTGCATAAATACCCATCGGGTGAATAAACAATATAAGCTTTTTACCACTTATCATTTTTTATACGGTATAGGGTCATCTTATCAACTTTTCTTTCTCCTCTAATTCATTCTTATTCTTCTCATCATGTTTGATTTATTGGACTTCACTTCCAAAGAGTTGATCATTATTAATGATAAAAACCAGACTAATTCTATCAGATAATAGTTCTAGGGGCAACAAATCTTGCATCGTTTGAATGAAAAAGAAACTGTCTTAAGTGGTCTCAAAAATTGTGAAGACCTCTCTGAAAGGAAATGAAAAATCCATCCTCTTTATTGTTGACTATTCAATACAATGAAGGTTGTTGGTTAGAATTAAATGACCACCAAGGGCTCAAGCTGAAATATAGTGTTGATGTTGTTCTAAAATAATATGTAGAAAGAGAAAGGATTGTTGAATTTCTTGTAGGACTCGATGTTGAATTTCACCAAATTTGTATTCAAATTTTGAGTAGATAAAACCTACTATACCTAAATGAGGTTTTCTTGCGTATATGAATCAAAGAAGGAAGAAGGATGAAAATGCTTGACACCTCAAAATCTGAATGTCAGCCTGACAATCACATAAACTCAAGGTAAAATATTTATTGCCATTGAATCTTTCCAAAAATAATGATAATCCTTTTTCTAAAGAAACCTATGGTGCAGTTATAGTAAGATAAAGGGGAATAAACCCCCATAGGAAATTCCAAGGTTATGGTGGAAACAAAAAAAGCCAATCAAAAGGGCATGCTTATCCCATTAAACCAGGAGGGCTAACTTAGGAGAATTGACAAGCTCAATAATCTCCTCAACTCTCTAGAATAGCCTTATGGAAATTCCCTTTAGCTTAAAATGGTGTGAATTCTAACTTTTCTACTTTTGATATGTCAAATATTTTTCCTAAAACCAAAATACTAGATCTAGAAGCAATTGATAATATGGAAAATCTTGTTAATATTTTTCAAACCTACTAACATTGTCCTAATAGGCTAATATTAAAACATTAAAAGTAGCTGATGGATCCCTAACAACTATTGCAAGTATAAGGGATATTTCTATTTCTCGCATATTTACTCTCAACAATTTGCTACATCTTCCTAAATTTGCAGTAAAGTTTTTTCTTTGATCATAAAATCATCAAAGATAACAATTGTTGGGTAATATTGTTCACTAATCATTATGTATTTAAAGATTTCACTATGGGGAAATCGATTGGGCAAGCTAGAGAAATGGATGGTTTATATGTATTTGAAGATAATAACGACTTAACCCTTTTAAATGATGACATCATTTGGGACCATCATTATAGATTAGGGCATCCCTCATTTAAAATCATAAAACATATATTTTCTTCTCCTTTCGTAAATATTAACATTGAAAACTTTCATAGCGAGATTTGTGAGATTGCTAAATATCATATTACTTCCTTTCTTGAAAGTGAATCTAGATTCTCTATTCCTTTCATAAAAAGTCACTTTGATATTTGGAGATTTTTAAAAATTTCTAATATTTATGTAACTAACGAATTTGTTACATTAATTGATGATTGCACCTAGATGATATGAGTACTTATTATCTAACAAGCATTTGATGCCATTCATATCCTTCTTATCGTTGTTGCTATGATAAAAAACAATTAAGACTAATAATCATACTTTATCTTTTTTTCTTAACAAAGAGTTATTATTCACCAATCCTTCCGTTATGACACCGACAATAGATTTGGTAGAACAAATCAACTTCTTCTGAAAGTCACTAGGACTCTTCTATACCAAAATCAAGTTCTCTAAGGATGTTGGGGAGAAGCTATCGTAATCTATCGTAATTTTCATATATTTAATTAATGGAATACTCTAAAAAATATTTGATTTCAAGTCTACTAAATTATGTTGTTGAAAAATTTTCCACAAATAATATTTTCTCAAAATTTCCAACAAAATTTTTTGTTGTCATATGTTCGCATCAATAAGCAACATCGAGGTAAGCTTAATCCTAGACACTGATGTGCATTTTTTTTTAAGATATTCATATTCTTGAAAAAAATGTAAATGTTATTATCCAACCATAAAAAGTTCTTCATTTTAAAATATATCACTTTTAATATATATATATATATATATTCACTCAACTCGTCTTTATGGGTGAACAACCAATGGAAGAAAGTTTGATAAAAAAATTCCTTCTTGTTTAGGGATGGTTAAGATAAATTTATGTGTATCATCCACCAGCCTTGGTATGCCACTTGAAAAAGGTATTATAAGGTCTTACAAATTCCTAAGAGCATGATTTGGTAGATTTATAAAAGTCATGTGTGAAATAGGATATAAATGAAGCCAAAGAAATCCTACACTCTTTATAAAATAATCTATTGACACGAAAATTTTAGGCCAAATTTTATAAAGAAGTATGATAATAATCAAAATCTGTAAAATGAGCATGAATTAATAAAAATTTGAATAGGAGCAAATACGCTGAATTAAATGGTGCATTCTAAAATGCGCTGAATAATTTGGCACAGTGAGAATACATAATTTAATTTGACGTATTATACTCACGTGTAGAGAGAGAAAGGGGGAGATAGAGAGACAAGTGAGAGAGGGAGAGAGATGACAGTTGATAGCGGAGAGAGAGAGAGGTTGATAGCAGGGGAGAGAGAGAGGATAGTCAAATATTTAAATTAATATTTTAACTATTTTTAAATGTTAATTAGTTTAAAAAATACAACATTCAATATTTATTATTAAAAGTCATTTATTTAATAATTTAAACTAAATATATATAAAACTTTATAAGTTTTAGTTAAATATAATGATTTATAAAAAAATTAATTAAATATTTAATTTACTAAATATTATATTTAAATAATAAAATTTATGTAATATTATTAAATATATAAAAAAATAAAATTTTAATAAGAAAAAATTAGTTGAATAAATAAATATTTAAAAATCATTTAAAATAATAGTTAAATATCTTAAAATTTATCTCTATGCGCCGTGATCTCTCTCCCCCCTCTCCGCTGCCACCTCTCTCTCCGCTGTCAACTGTCATCTCTCTCCTCCCTCTCTCACATGTCTCTACGCGTGAGTATAATATGCCAAACTAAATGGCGTATTCTCACTGCGCCAAATTATTTGGTGCATTTTAGAATGCGTCATTTAATTTAGCGTATTTGCTCCTATTTAAAATTTCATTAATCCATGCGCTTTTCACTAATTTTGATTATTATCATCTTCTTTATAAAATTTGGCCAAAATTTTAATTCTTAATGTATGTTTGTGATATTATTTATTATAGCCGTTCATGCGATGATAAGGTAAGGAAATCATAAAAAAAAATATGGCGTAGAATTTGAAATGAAATAACTCAGGATATACAAATATTTTTTGGGATATACAAATGTTTTTTGGGAGGGAAATAAAAATAACTAATTGCAAGCCATGTGAAACT